ACGTGAGAATAAAAAGTTTCATTCGTCCCACCTCTTAGGCGCACTATCACCAATAAGGTGATAAATAGGAAGATGGAACCGTTATGAAATAAAATAAGTTCCAACCGTCCCCTAGTCGCCAAAGGTGGGACGGATGTAACTTTATATTCTAGTCTGTTTCCACGTGGGGACAGAGCGGGGTGACGGTTGGGAATAATCCCGGGCATAAGCTCGTAATTAATAAATAGCTATGGTGAGTAGAATATAACATACTGAGGACGGCCTGCAGCTCGTCGAGCTGCGCGCGGCGCTCGGCGAGCTGCTCGCGCACGTCCTGCAGCTCCGTCTCCAGCTTGCGCTTGGCGCGGTCCACCTCCTGCCGCAGCTGGTGGTCCTGCACACACAACCGTTAAACTGTTAAAGTTCACATAAAAACTCTTTTACGGGAAGAATAAAATTTGCATTGACAGTTGCAGAAGTAACGTGAAAAAAGATTGAAAAAGTAAATCCAAAAAGTCGCATAACCATAATATGTTCAGTCCAAAAAAATGTTCCTACAAATAATAACATAACCCCGTTAGTACCTTGAGCAGTTTCTCCTCAAGTTCAGCAATAGCAGACTCTTGTTTCGTCTTCAGCTTGCTGAGGTGTTTAGCCTTCTCCTCTTCCTCCGCCAGCGCTTGCGACAAATCCGTCGCACGCTCCTCCAAAATCTACAAAAAGTCGGAATAGTCACTAAGCAAGGAAGAAATGGGATATATCTATACGAATATTATAAAGAGAAATAATATGATTTTTTGTATTCTTGTATGTAACGAAATAACTCAAAAACTACAGGACCTACTACAAAAATACTTTCACCAATAGAAACCAACTTTATCGCTGAGTAACATAGGCTATATTTTTTAATTTCTCGCAGACGAAGTCGCGAGCACCAGTCACTTTGCTCCATCTTAGCTGTCTGATTTCGTACCTTCTTCTCCTTGAGGAGTTTTTGGTTGGTGTCGTCGCTGAGCGCCAGGTCCTCCTCCAACTTCTTAAGCTTGGCGTCGCATTGCACGCGCTCCAGCTGCAGCTTCTGCCTCGCCGCCTCCTCCTCCTCCAGCTGCTCCTCCAGGTCCTGAGAGAAAGAGAAATTATAATCGTTATAATACTTAAGCAATCACATGAAATTATTATCTTGAGAAACAGATGTACAGTAGCGGAAATCTACGGTGTTTAACTTTCAGAAAATCTTCTTCGTTCCTTATCTTAATAAAAACTTTCTCTATTACAAATAACCATTTAGCGAGAAGTAAGTTGCGTGAATAGGATAATAATAAAAAAACAACTAAGCGTGTTCCACTAACCGATATTTTTTCTTTGACTACGTCCTATTATTCCGCGTTCTTAATGCGTACAAAAAATTCAAACGACTGTATCTTCTAAAGTGGTGCAACACCAAATTTCTTAACTGTACCTGTATATTGAGCTGGAGGCGTTTCTTCTCCTGCTGCAGCGAGTTGCAGCGCTCCTCCTCCTCCTCGATGCGGCCCTCCAGGTCGTGCAGCAGTTCCTCCAGCTCCTGCTTCCTGGCGGCCGCGCGCGCCCGGCTCTCCTCCGCCTCCGCGCACAGCTCCAACTCAGCCTGAAATTACAATACCTTCAGCTATACTTCTCTGACACACTAACTATGTAAGGTCAAACAATGACAGGTAAAGAAATTCACATGCCAGTAACTGGCAAACTTGTATGAAAGCTAGTGGCACGTGCTACATAAACGGTTGTGTAAACGCTATCTGGCATGTAAGTTTGGGGGAGTACAAAGATTGACACTGTCTTGTCTCGTATCATTTTAGTTTGAATTAATAAACAACAAACTTAGTATATCATTTTGATTATTTTCAGTGAAATAACTGTTTTTGCAACCCTTTTTGAAATCCCACATCCGTAAATCTAAAAGCAGAATATCTACATGAATTTTAACCTGCAATTGTTCGGCGAGTTGCGTTTTCTCCTGGTTAGCGGCCTGGTACTTCAGCTCGTACTCCTGGCACCGCTTCATCTGGTTGTCCAGCTTGTCCCTGATCTGACGGAGCTCGTCCTCCTTCTGCGTCAGCTTCTCCTCCTGCTTCGTCACTTCTAGAAGTGGCTTCACCTGGAATCACAAAGAATCAGATGAGTATGTATACAAGATTTAAATATATTGACATTTTATTTTTTACCTTTTGTCAATTGCATCTTTATGTGTTGTATATTCTTATAACAAATACATAGATAGATATTCTAAAATAATAATCTTATTACAGGTATAAGTAAAGTATTTGAAAGGACATAAATTTGTATTTAGTAGCTAATATACTTTCATATTTAAAAACATTTTCCTGTTGTCTATTATTCAGATTTTTATCTAATGTTTGTCATCAGCAAAATGATATATAAATTGTGCTTGGTAAATATTTTTTATTTCAGATATCTTTTTTACTAAAGGACACTGTGCACTTTAAATTCAAGTTCAGATATTATGCTATCTAAACACGACCCCCATCTGTTCGTCTTCAATCGGTTGCATAACTCAGTGCTGAATAATTTAACAATAGAAATAGTTGACCAGCTCGCACAAAGGCCACGGTAATATTATCAAAACACGACCGATTTATTACTACATTATATAAATAATTCGATGACCTGTCCCTATGTTATGAATAATTTGACTGATAACTTTTAATGTTGATGTACGTTGATCGAGACATTTAGTTTCGATGAAAGTGACCTACAATTGTAATATAACAAACGAAAAAAATTAAAAGTTCACTATTAATTGGAGTACTAACCTTAATGTAGAGTCGCCACCACTGCCAGTTCCTCAGCTTGAGGTACGCGGCGCAGTTCCTCTGGATGATGCGAATAGCGTTCAGTTGCTGCAGCCGTTTCTGGTAGTTCCTGCGGGCGAGGTAGCCGCGGCAGAACGCCTGGAAGTTCACAATCAGGTCCGTTATCTTGTAGTCGCGTTCCTCCTCCAGATGGGCCAGCACACCCGCCCTGAAGAAGATCTTGGACTGCCCGACGCGGTACAAATTGTGGTCGAGCTCCAGTGCCTCGATCATCCGTTCACAGGCTTTCTTGCCGTCCATAAATCCTTTAGGAATGATGTTCGGCGTCAGCAGCTCGTAGCGCTGTCTGAACTCCTGGAAGGGTATCCTGTTAGGGAAGCCCTGCCTGCATATCCTGATGCCCTCGAGTACCCCGTTGCACCTCAGCTGGTCTAGCACCAAAGCGGCTTCGATCTTACCCGCCTTCTTTTCATGATTCGGAATGATACATCGCACGAAGTTCGGGTTCGTATTCCTAAGTGTGGCCATCAACTTTGTCAGCTGCTCCTTGTACAGCTGCGAGACGGTCCTGAACATTCCCTTGCGAGTCCTGGCACCGAACTGTGTGTCGGTCATCGCCTGCTGCGCCATGCCCACTATTTCAGCGTCCTTCCAGATGTGGCATACGAAAGGATCTTGAGACGATTGCAGCAGGGAAACTACGTTCTCGTTTAGAGGGTCCATGTTCTTCATCAGCCACTGAGACGCAGAGTAGTCCACTTTGCCTGCGTAATGGATTATAGCAAAGTCTGCGATACCTCTGAAGTCAGTCTTCATGAATTTCGGATGCACGGAGTGCGCCGACACGAGTTTTTCAACAAAACTCTTGTCAGTGGCTTTAGGGAACCAACACTCCTCGTCCAGGAGGGCCATGATACCCATAGGTTTGTCGATTAAATCGATCGTCGGTTGCAAATCGAGTCCGAAGTCGATGAACTTCCATTCGATTCCTTCCCTTTGATATTCCTCCTGTTCTAAAATGAACATTGTGTGATTGAAGAGCTGCTGCAGCTTCTCGTTGGTGTAATTGATGCACAACTGCTCGAAGGAATTGAGATCGAAGATTTCAAAACCGGCCATATCGAGGATACCAATGAAGGAAGCTCCTTGTCTCTTCGTCCTGTCCAGGGACCTATTGATTCTGTTAACGAGCCACCTGAAGAGGCGCTCGTAGCAAGCTTTGCCGATCGCTTCCACCGAGAACTCGACCTGTTCTTTCGTCTGTGCCTTCGTCACGAAGTCGCGGCCGACCTTGATACGTGGTTTTAAGAATGCTTTCGTCATTTCTGTTACTGAAAGACCTGGAAATCGAGTGGAAGCTCATGTTAATTTTGAATTTTTACTTGTTATTTTCTAACTTTGTAGGTCTAACAAAAGAACAGAAATAAAAACATACAAAATAACTAGAAAATTTAAAATAGAACATCCTTCGATTTACTGGCATATTAAAGATACAAAAACAATAGAATATTCAGTAAATTTTGTGCGAAACATTATAATTTCTTACCAAGCAAGTGTGCGATCTTCTGAGCAACAGTGTTATCAGGCAACGTGGCCTGGTCAGAGTTCCTCTCCTGCTTGAATTGCATGGAACCGAAAAGCAAAACCGCAGAGACTATTCTGAAGATGGAATTAAAGTCTTCCATATTCATGCCCATTATGTTCATCGACTTGATCGTAGCCTGAAACTCCGCAGCATCGTCTATCCCGGGGACGGGCAGCGAGCCATTAGTGAGGAAAGGATAGTTTTTAGGATCTTCTAGAATGTATTCCGCCTTCTGCTGCGGCGTCGCGCCAACAAGCAGCTGGTAGAAGATGTGGAATGTCCGTTCATCTTTCGCCTGCCTGATAGCTCTAGATTTCTCTAATAAGTACGTTTCGATGTTCGCACCGGCTATGTAGCCCGATGCGTCGAAGTTAATTCTGATGAATTTACCCTGGAATACAAAAAAATGTAAACTGTGATCATTTTTTTCGTATTTCATCTCAGAATATTTTTTTTTAGTTCTGTTTGCTAATAACTTTAGCCCTAACATATAAATTCTGTTTTCTTTAACATTTTGCGATGCTTTTACGGGCAATTTTCTCATTTATGTCGGGGCTTGGCATTTTTGGCAGTACACCAAAGCAATTTACCATTTATTTACTAAAGAATGTGCATTAATTATGAGGCGGTTAGCGTTGACAGGCATTTATTATCAGTATCATGGGCTTATAACGCTTTACCCTATGAAACTTTTGAATTTCATTATATATTCGTCCATGCGTCGACAATAGGTCTGTGGACAATGCGACTAAAATAATGTGAAAACCAACATGCTAAAAACACAAGTTCGATTTTTGAATTTCAATATATTTTGACCGTCTGTGTCACATCCTTCGATGTTATCGCGTAAAGGTTATTTCGGACGTAAGAAGAGCAATAAAAGGGCGTCTATAACAATGGCAATATTGCACCTTGCTAATATACCTACAACAAACTATAGTATTGCAACAACTAGTGATGTTCGTGTATTTTATCGATATACTTACAAATCTCGATGAGTTGTCGTTTTTCACCGTCTTCGCGTTACCAAAAGCTTCCAAAATAGGATTAGCTTGCAGCAATTGTTGCTCCAACTCGCCCTAGAATCATAAAATGTTTTATTGATAACACAAACCTACATTTTGTCCTTATAGAGATGTAGCAAAAGCGTTAATTTTAAACTGGAATTCATTAAAAAAAATCTATTCCTTTTTCAATCGACATAATAATTTAAATGGACATCGGTTATTAATATATTTTTAGTGATGTCTAATTGATATCGATATTTACCTCGAATGTTGGTCCATTGCTCTTTAATTGTTAGCGTGAAAAATGATATCTGTAGTTAATGATACTGATGAAAGTACGATAAAAATAAAGTTATACGGTATTTCTTGATGACATGATTTTTATGAAGCATGCATATTGAGCAGGTCTCCAAAACCAATTAGTACCATGACAGTGATATAAGTGACAAAGTTTGGGGAATTGCGAAACGGGATAGCAAAACAGAGTCTATCTCGCTCACTCGTCGAACAAATGACAAAAGGCAATAATTTACATACCAATAGTAAAACAATGTGGATGATAACGCTTATCAAAACAACGAAGAATATTCTAAGTGTGTATTAATGTACAGTACTAGTATTTACAACCTAAACCTAGTTCTATGTCTAGATTTTTAAAAATAATATTAGACTATCTTCATCTTAAGGTTAAAAGAAAAAGTCTGTACATAATAAGAGGATAGTAGTAATGGAATAGAATAATTGAATCAAAACAGTGCCAAGGATGAATTGTTGACGATGTCTAAAATTAGTCATAATTTTAAAAACGAATTTAACACAGTGTTACTTCCATGAAACATGAGCAAGCAACCCCTAGTGCTGATTAATTACATTAAAAACAAAACACGGTTAGTATTAACATTATATTTGTCCAAACATTTGCTTATTGGATCAAATATTTGCTAAACGTAGATAGGCGCCAATGTTTCAATTTTGCAAGCAAATTTTAGTCTCTCATTAAAACTTACAATAATCAACTGCGGCGAAGGTCCCTGTAGTCATCGACAGCCGGTGCGGAAGAGAGTGGAAAAAATAAAAAAAATTACAATAGCACATCGTGGAAGAAAATAGTTTGGTAAATTTTTGTTAATTCCCAAACAAAAATAGACCAAAGTGCAATCCATACATTCAATGTACAGATCCTTATACTAATAAATTCTAGTTTTGTATGAGGTATTCATAATAAGGATCTATGCATTTTCAATTTTCAATTACTACTATAGTTAAACACAGATATGGACAATTTTCTTTATTGTGTAATTTCATAGCCGAACTGTTTCACCAGCATCATCACTGACTTTTATTAAATGGATAGGCTATAAAACGTGGTACTTTGTGCTTATTTGATCTATGGCATTTCAGTGCTGACGGTTGCAGATGGTAGAGGTTGTGTGGAAACGAACTAATTAGAGATTTAGATACTATCAGAATTGTCGTTACCAAGCAACCGCCTATCCATTTAATATAGATCAGTGGTACATCAATTTAATTCAATATGAATTTCAAATATCGATTTCAGTCATTTATCAATTTGAATTAAGTACAGAAACAAGTAAAAGAACAGTTTTAAAAAGGTCTAAACAATAAAACCCGTGCTATACTACAGGAAGGAAAATGTGTAAATGTATTAGTACATAGGTACTAGTATAGACTAGCGCTACATCAAAATGTATATTTAATTTACATAACAAATTACTTCGGATCATTAACCTAGATCACAAAAATACCTTGTAAGGAAAATTTAGTGAAAACGTAACAAACATTGTTGCCATATATGTACAGAACAAGGTTATGAGTCACCGTGTTTAATAATGGTTAATATTAAATGTGGTGCGACCACACCCTGAGCACACTCATCGCTCTGTTTATAGTAACAAGGCTAGGACACATTGTCCGCGAAAACAGAGCGAATACGATTTATAACTAACTACCGATATCACCGATCCTACAACCTTATAGATAAACACGTATAGGAGACATAAAATAGCTTCTAGTGTACGAATATCTTTAGTATAGCATCTTGTCTTTTAATTGATAGCTTTTATTACTGTAGGGTCCTAAATATTTACTATACTTTACTGAACTTTGTTATATTCTCTTACCCGACTTCGGTAATCGAACCGATGGAGAAAGCGCTTCGTAAAATAAAATAAAACAAATGAACAAAAATAACAGTAAAACAAGGATCTGGTTTGTAAGAAGTCGTTCCAAATTTGAAATTATAAAACAAAAAACGTTCGAAATTTAAGAATTAAAAAAAACTGATTGAAATAAAACTCTTACCGCTCCGGAACCCTTGGGTTTAGAGGCGGCGACGTAGGCGAGGTATTGTATAACCTTTTTGGTGTTTTCAGTCTTACCCGCACCAGATTCTCCTGTGCAGAGGATCGACTGATCCTCTCGATCTGCAAATAATATGCACTATTTAAAAATTTAATTAGCAATACTTCAAACACTATAGGAGAATGCTTGTCGAATTTTACCTTACCCAAATATATTATTAGATTTAGAAGTGCATATCCGTAATTCTTTTAAAGGTTTTTTTAAAGATTAGTAGGGGTTTTCTTAAGGAGTCTGTTGGATGTCTCAACCGCCTCCAATAATAATAAAGTCAAGATAAGAGTCTACCAAAATTTGATTAACATGTTTTTGACAGTTTGTTTTAATGATAGTTCCTAAAAACGATATGCCAATAAAATGTATTATGTTTGTATCTCATAAAGCGAGTACTATTCTGCGTGATGCACTCGGTCGCTGGGTGCCTAGCACTTCTGCTACGCCTTTGTTTACTTTGATTATCTCTACGCATTGCCGCGGTAACGACCTACTAGGAACTAGGTTTGTCGCTTTTCTAATTATTAATAACAGCTTCCTTGATAAAACTGTAAAATTGCCGTTTAACATTCCTGTTCATGCTGTTAAACAACTTCCTAAGACGCTAAATCTGAATAATCCGAATCTGAATAAACAGTAAAATTAAAAATTAAATGTTGAAGATTAGGTTATCTCGCAATTTGTTAATTTCTACATATCAAGATATTTAAATCTGCCAAAAAATGTTTTACTTTTCAGTATGCATCAACCCTAGCAATCCAGCGCACTCATTGTCATGGCATGTTATCCAGTACCGCAGTGGCCATAGAGCAGCTCGCCACATTAATTTCTATGCAACAATATGCCTATTCCTGTCCACCTACATGCAAATAACAAACCTTTGTACCTAACCGAAGGCTGTACGCTGTTCGCATCACAACGAGCGGAATTCACTATTTTCTTAGGACTTCTGTTTAATTAATCATCTGTTTATCATTAAATTACGTATTTACTTTGACAAATGTATGCACAATAATTTGAATTTCAAACGATCTTCAAATCCTCTAATCAAGGTAAGTAAAAAACACACATTACCACTTTTAGATATCATAATCAAAAGAATTGTATTAAAATAAATTTAATTTGTTTATAATGCAGTAGTGCATCATTAGCTCGTTAAGATAAGGGACAAAGTACCGTAACTGCCATTAGACTTATCTTCCACTAATGGTTCGCGATAGACAACAAAACTACGGCTACGTTTTTTGTTTCCATACGTCATTAACATCATCTTTATTCTTATCCTACTCCGGAAGGGTCGGCGCAATAGGTTATTGTCCTCCACATAACTCTATCATACGTCATCACAGCCATCACTCCCTTTTTGATCATGTCACCTTTCACGCAATCCATCCAACTCTTTCTAGGTCTACCTCTATAGGTGTACTCTTCCACACTCATAACTAACGTTCTCCTTGTAACATGCGATTCATCCCTCCTCATAACATGTCCATGCCATGCTAACCTTTTACACCTTACCTTCTCTAGCATTGGGGCTACTCTAAAAACTTACTACATAATTATTCTATTGTAAAGTTACAGGGATATGTGCTATCATAACAACCAAAGAACCCGTTAAATCCCACAGTACTAGTTACAATCCTATTAAATTGTCTTACTGATCTTGTATGAATTACCTTGTAGCATTGAGCGATAGGCGGTGTCAGTGATGGCGAAGACATGTGGTGGAACTTCATGCCGTTTGATGCCTTTGTACCGTTCCATAATCTTCTCCGTGTAGATCGGTAGCTTCTTGTAAGGGTTCACCACCACACAGAACAGCCCCGAGTATGTCTGTAGAAAAATAGACACAACTTAGTACAATGTTAAATAATATTCTCAAATAAAGTGTACTAACATACTTTGAATTTCACTTTATAAGTTAATTTGATCTTTATAATTGAACTACAGCTTCTTTCTCTTTACTAGATTAATTTTGTGCTAAGATCGACAGCAATTTGCTCAACAGCCATAAATAATTTACATCAATAAGATTAATAGGATTTTAATCAATGGTGAAGGCGACCATACCAGTAAATAGGTACGCTTCATTATTCAATATTCCCCTTGGAGAAATGTCTCGTAACGAGTGATTGGTCACGGCCACACCGACTATGGTATCCCCTTGTCACGGTGGCGACACAATCTTCAATGCAACCAAGATTAATGAACCTCCATTACTAGTTGTTTCTAAGCCAGAATAATCTGTTATGTCACTTATTTACACTTAATTGTGTTCCAATATTTTTGAGAACAAAAGTGTACACAGGACTTAAATCGATCGACGACATAACCCATCATAGAAAAGTCAACTACAATTCTATAATTGTTTATCTAAACATATTTAAAGCAATTATAAAATAAACAAGATAGCGAATTCAATTTCACTATCAGCATGCGGGCAGCGCGGAGACAAACATTCAGGTCATGCATACAAATAAATCTATACTATTATAATACAGCGTAAACATACACTTCTTTGTTGCCTAAGATGTCAGCATTTACAGCATATTTTTGAATAATATTTTTTTTTTAATAAAAAGCCCTAAACTTACGTCACGCTTTAGGCTATATATTTTCACGCCATTAAACTTAGGGGGTAAATGTTTTGGATAAAAACCCTAATGTGGATAAGAGACCATAAGTTACTGCCAAGATCAAGGAATCAAGATTGCAGAGGTTTGTCATGTCATGTGAGTTTGACAAACGTAAACAATAATATAAAATTATCATAATTTCGTGCGGATGAAGCCGCACGGGAACAGCTATTGCTCAATAAAATCATAACGCAAACAAGCAATTAGTATAGGACATACTAGTGTAGGTAACTGGCCTGTACAATTATTTCTGGACTCTGATACGTATATAATAGCTTGAAGATGCCGGCTACCTTGCATTGTGAATAAATTAAAATTAAAATATTAAAAGCTTTCGTAACTGTTTGCGTAAATTGATTACAAGCCAAAAGATTGAATTCGTATGTTTGAGTAAATTAGATATAATTGAATTTGTCTATTAAATAATTGTAATATTTGCAATAAATAGCCAGTTTTAAAAACTTATATGCAGAGTTAAATGAGTTAATGTCTCTAGATGGTATGTAAACACAAGCGCGATTAACAGTGCGGCGACATCAAAGCCAGCGTTATCCGCAGCGATAACTGACGATGCTCTGAATCAATTTGAGTTCCACGGTCGCGCACTAACTGCAGTTATCTCTAATCATCATGTAATCCTGGTTCCGGGGTCAAGTCTGATATGTACATAGAGACGTGCATCTAATAAACAATCCTTAGGGTTAGAACACAGAGACAAGTTAAGTATAGTTTAAATTTAACATCCTCAGCGTTAGGACAAACGGTGACTATATTTTATGTCATAACAGTAACGTTCCACCGCAAAAAGATTAACAGGAGAATCATTTGATTGTAGGGAATATTACAATCTTTACTTTCGTTCTAATACAAATGTCAAGGTAGTGGAGACCCACGGTTAATATATCGTTAATTCAGAACAACTAATTATTTACTGGGTCGTTTAAATTACGTCAACATTGTCCAGGGATGCGAATGATCAATTCCCGCAACACGACGTGCCCGTAATGACGCAACGCAGTCAACTATAAGAACCTGATCCGGTCTCATTCTGAACCTCGCTGACGCCCGATTTGGTTTCGCTCCTTGTACGAACCACCCTAATTGGTAACATGGTTTATGTTTTTGTATAGCGTGTACATGGAATATCTAGGAGATTTCTCATTAGTATATAAAAAAATGGCATCCATCATATTTACACAATAAAGTCAATGTTTCAGACTATTCTGGAATAGCTACTATTATTGTTGGTAATCTTACAAATATTATAAATGCGAAAGTTTAGATGCAAGGATGGTTGTCAGAGTTTGCCGCCTAAACGACTAAACAGATCTCGATGAAATTTGACATAGATGTAAGGCATAGTTTAGAAGAACACATACTCTATTCGCTTTTATTTTTTTAATTCCAGGTCGAGGAAGCCGCGGAAGATAGCTGGTAATCTTAATAATAAGAGTCACCGACATCTTCGGTCAGACCTTGAGCAAGTTGGTCTTGTAAAGTTATCCGAAAGTCATAGTATTTTAGTATCTAAAGTTAGTAAAATATCAACATGTACTTTGCATTGTCTCGCGTGGTATTCTCATGAGTCATTTGCGATGGAACCTTTATGCCCGCACAGCTGATTACACAAGACGTTACACGTGCAATTATAGCCTTTATGGACTTACGGTTAAGTGTCATCTTTCTTGCTAGATTTTACTCATAAGTTTACAAAACTCTGGGAAAGATGAAATATTTTACCACTACTATTACTGACTGATGTTTGAAAAAAAAATAGTAAGTTTTTTCTAACAATACAATATTCCTTAGCATTTCTCTTACAATACTGACTTTTACATTAAGATTTATGTTCAACGAGAGATTTAATCTATGTTGATAATTGCCTAGTCTAACTTTAACTTGCATTGGGATGACTTAAGTTACACTTAGGTAATAACTAAGACATTAACTGCACAACAGTTTCCTCTCATATCAAATAGACATTAGTCAAGGCATGTCGTATTATCACTTCACGACTTTAATTTTTAATTGTTCTAATAAAAATACATAAAAATGAACTTAGTCATCGCATTACTGATTCATATGTCTTAGATTAATTACTGTTTAGTTCTTTAAGATGGAAGTCTAAATATTCGTATGTCTACACCCTTATAGACCATGCCTAAACTAGCAAGACTTGTATGACGTCATCTCATAGTACACGAATTCCACCTTACACGATTCATAGAATTGATCCTCTTGGCTGTTTTCCAGGGACTGTACTCAATCAATATAAGTTCTAACATAGAGAATGATGCCAAGAGCACGTGAATTAATTGTACAGGCGATGGCAACCTTGCCACACAGCTGGCGAGGTTCACACACCGTATTTGTCTATGAAAAAACACGACAGAAAACAACCTCAAAATCGATATTAAATTAATTTACTTCGATGAATCTTGGTAGAAAGTTGTTTTAGTGGTAAACAATAAAGATTTATTTAAACTAAAGATCAGTCATAACTTATGTGTACATTTCACGTTTCACAACCCACAAAGCATTGAGAGTGTTTCCACGTAACGCACGAAGTTATCGTTATCAGTCGCCAAACAGTGACACCTTTATTGCACGGTGATAAGGTTTATATTGGCACAGCAAAAGGTATGAGTCAGTGTAGTTATGGGGTGCGCTTTAGCCCATGTTTGGTCATTTGAAGGCTCGCAGATAGAGTGATAATGCGCGATGTAATAGCTCACTCTATAAGGTGTATTTTTTATGGTCTACGTGATGCTAAGTTCTTTTGAAGTTCTGAACAAATCCATTTATATCAAGGGTCAATTTATGGAATATGACTGTGTGTGTGTAGAAAATATCTAGTAAACGGCTAAATGGATCAGCATGAAATTTGGCATAGTTATAGAGCATGGTCTGGAAGATACATAATTTATTGTTATTCCGCGCGGGAGTCGCGAGCGATGGCTAAATTAAAATATTATTATTGCCCAATTTAGGGCAAAACCAATAAGTGAGAGGTTAACATTTAAGTCTAAAAAAGTCAGCAAAATCGTTTACCATATTTGGATAAACTAGTACGATTGGTACATTAAAAATGTAGCCTGAAATAAATGAAATATAACATCGTGTTTTTCATTGACCCCCTTTTACTCTGAAGGGCTGACATGTTTTATACGAGGTTTGTCAAGTTTATAAGAAGTCGTGTAATAAATTTGCAATCGCAATGGCTTACTGGCATGAATCTGAGTCTTATGAAAGTCCGTGTTAAAGCCCAGAATTATTCCTTATCATACTAATATTATCATACTTCATACTAATATTATAAATGCGAAAAATTAAAAGATTTTTAGAAACCAGGTCGATGTGTATATGCTTTACAAATTTCAAATGTTTACATATGTTTTTAAACACAAAAAATTGTTATTGTGGCGTACGTACGGATAATGTGAGTGCTCATTAGTTTGTTTATCCAACAAGAAACCCACGCAACACGTAAATGGATTCTAAAATGTCTCCACTACAGTCATTCTCAAACATTCATGAAACGTAAAACCCAAAATTAATATACGATTGATCGATATCTAGGTTCCACGTACGTCGATACAGATAACCGTTTCAATACGCAGTTATTATTATTATAACCTTTTTTTACTAATAAATTGTGCTACAAAGAATTCAAATTGCCACAATTTGAGAGCCATCGCTTCGCACAATGCCCACTGCATTGAATCATCAGTAAACATTAAATCTAAGTACACACTAGCGCCCACGAAACCTACCAAATTTGCAAAACAAACACAACATTTATTTTTATCATCCATTGTAAATTTTAAATGATCGCAGACATTACATAAATATTCACAAAAAAGTTGAAAGGGATTACTTTTGTTTGAGCAGTTAATACACAGCTAAAAAAATATCAATTCCAATAAAAAATCTCCAGGTTCATATTAGTAATACAATAACGTCTAGATCGAATAGAAAAAACTATACTTGTGTAAAAATACAAATATGTAGATAACGGACTTTCAGAGTGGTATCAAGGGAAATGCCGGAGAAAGGGAGCAATCGCAGCGGACACGCAGCGGATACGCAGCGATACCGCATCCTGCGACGCGGTTGAACGCCCTAAGATACCGCAATCACTAATTGTTGCTATTCATTCCAATAGACACGGCCTTCGGAAACGGAGCTACATACCAC